TGTTGTTGTTGTTGTTGTTGTTCCCGTGCTCCCCGGTCGCTAATGGCCCAGTGCACAGCGGCGTCTGCCAGCATCCGCATGCCGGGAGAGAGCGAGAGAGAGAGTGGTAGTATATAGTGTTATGTAGTAGCTAGTTCTGAACAGCAGTGGTCGTTTCAGGCGCAGGTTATGTATTGAGACGCCGAGCGGACTGACTCTGTGAAATGGACCCGGCAGTGGTGGGATTCTACAAGAGGGTTTGGAAGCTTTGACGTTAGCCGATGCCCAGGGCGACTGATTCTGGAATAGCTAGCATCGCTCGAAGGCCTGCCTGACCCAGAACACGAATTTTACCGTCGTTGTATCTCCGCCGTGGCGTACGTTGAGGCAGAAGAGAAAGGGGATGAGGCCGTGCAGGCACGGCATGTTCCGTTTCCAGTTGGCCACCGAAGAGAGTCCCGTGTATAATTGCAGAGATTGCAGAGTTGCCTTTCATCTGAGCGCATCATCTTGTGAGGCTTTAAGCAGATGTGAGCCCTAGGCAGTAGCACTTTGAATGGGTGCGCATGAATTGCCGGCGAGTCGTGGGGGTTTGAAGCACTCGGATATGTTGAAGCTGCACGGAGTCCAAAGTGCAGGGTAAGATCACAACCTCGCAGGCTGCCTTGCCTGGACTTGCTAAGTTTTTACGTATCATGTTGTCCAACGCGGTGCTATCCGGTTGGATTTACGTGGGAATCCGGGCAAAGGTTGAAAGTTGAACTCATGGTCCGCCGCACTCTGCTCAAGTGCCTGCAGCCCCCGTTGCAAAACGCGGGGTTCAAAAGTCATGGCACGTCGGGCTCTGCTACAGGCCCCTGGCGACGAGGAGTTGAGGGATCGCGTTGGGCAGATTGGAGGTTACATGCACATATGGCTACTTACTCATCTGTTTGTCGACATTTCTGCGCGTGTGCCTATCGGCCTGTCTTCGTGTGCATACTGGTGTAGAGGTGTGAACTTGCTCCGGGGTTTCTTGAGAGGGGGGCTTGGTGGGTTGGGAGGATAGTTTGAAGTTGTTGAGCAAAACCCAAAGGCTTCTGTGCCATTCCGCGACTCATTCCACTAGGTTGCTATCAGTCGCATCCGGAAAGTATCATCGCAAAGCCGTCTGGTTCAGGGTGGGCAATAAAGACAACGTGAGTGTTGGTTTTTAAGATTTGTGCTTTGTGGATGTTTCGGGCCTGTAAGTATAGAAACATGTACATATGTACGTGTAAGTCAGTGTGTATAATGTCAACATGTTCTCAAGTGTTGCTCAGATCTTCCATTGTGAAAGCTTTGCAAGATTTTGCAAGTGTAACGCTTCTCTTAGTTGTGCTTGTCTGGCTTCTTAAGTAACGTTTTTGTTCGAACGCCTGTCTTTTTAGTTTCTCTGACTTCCCATTCTTCTTATTTCTTATTTTCCGCTGTTTTGGTTCTGATCCGCTGCATTCTGTATTTGCCTGCCCTTTTTGAGCACGCGTCGAAGCATGCCTGGGTTTGTTCAGAACTGCATGCGCGACTTGTTGATGTTATAGCGCTGATGTTTTTTCTGTTTCTGTCAAAAAGTTTAGAAGTGAGTTGACTTTTTTGCATGTGTGTGTTTTCCATGTTTCCTCATGGTTCTCCATTGTGCTCAACTCCCAAGCAGCCGCCAGCTGGCAAACCGCCTCCACCGAATGAAACACCCTTCCGATTGAACACATCTACTCCTCAGTACTAAATTTGTGCTGTCTCTTTGTCTGTTCTGCCCTCACCTGTATGCTTCTTGAGCCAGTAGCTACGTGTTCCTGTTCTTATCGCTTCAACCCATAGTTTCGCAATGCCTTTAAACCTAACCCTGACATCTTGACCTTCAGATGCATGGGCATGGTTCATATCATGAGAAGCCTAAGCCATATCCCCGATGGCTCAGCTGCGCAACCCTCCCTAGTCTGTAGAATTTGTTTGACCCTTATCAATGCGAGAGGGGAAAGTCTGAACAATATTCTGCCCGTAACAGCTAACAGGGCACCCCACGCTTCAAAGACAAAAAAAGCCTGGCTGTGAGGGACTGAATTACGAAAGCAGGAGAGTCCAGTCAGCAGCTCTAGTCTGGGAAGCTGGCGTCAAGGCAAGCGAAGGCCGATCGAGCTGGGGCTTTGTGCGGTGAATAGTCGCACAAGTAGTAGTGGAGGTGGTGGCAGAAGTACTGTAGCAGAATCAGTAGTAGTGGTAGTAGTAGTAGTAGTAGTAGTAGTAGTAGTAAGAGTAAGTAGTGGTTAGCAATAATTGGTAACAAAAAAATTGTAATTGCAAATTTGCGTTTAGTACTGAGGAATCAGAAATGATTTTTGAGTAACGAGTAAAGAGTAGCGAGTGATCAGCAAATTTTTATTATGAGTAGTGATATTAGTATTATTATTATTAGTAGTAGTAGTAGTAGAAGTAGTAGGAGTAGTAGTAGTAGTAGTAGTAGTAGTAGGAGTAGGAGTAGGAGTAGGAGTAGGAGTAGTAGTAGTGGTAGTAGTAGCAGGAGTAGGAACAAGAGCAGGTCTGGTGGTAGTGGTGGTAGTTGTGGTGGTAGTAGCGGTCGGAGTGTTGGTGGTAGCGGTAGTAGTGGTAGTGCTAGTGCTAGTCTTAGTAGTAGTCGTAGCAGCAGTGGTAGTGGTAGTGGTGGTTGTAGTAGTAGCATCAGCAGCAGCAGTAGCAGGAGTAGTAACGGTAGTAGTAGAAGCAGTAGTCACGTAGTAGTAGTAGTAGTAGTAGTAGTAGTAGTAGTAGTAAGAGTAAGTAGTGGTTAGCAAGAATTGGTAACAAAAAAATTGTAATTGCAAATTTGCGTTTAGTACTGAGGAATCAGAAATGATTTTTGAGTAACGAGTAAAGAGTAGCGAGTGATCAGCAAATTTTTATTATGAGTAGTGATATTAGTATTATTATTA